TCCCGGCGAAGGAGCGGTGAAAACGGTGAAAGCCGATCCGGGGATCCACAGCACTAAGTTGATGTATTTCCTCAGCGACCAGCACAGATCAGCTCTAGGCATGGCGAAGCGGATATCGTCCTCTTTTGGAAGACCAAACAAAGTAGTTTCGCTTTCACAATGAAGCACACAGCGTCTTCAGGACATGGCGGCAGCGGCAACAATACTACAGCGAGAATAAAAGTTACGCTTTCTTTCTTTGCGTGAACATTTGGGCGGCTTTATGCAAATCTTCCCACATAGTGAGGTAGGTATGTGGGGGCGTGTTCGAACGAGCCGTTTTAGGTAGGTGTGGCTAACTCTTAACTTTTATAAAGAATATCTCTTTGGATTTGAGACTTTAGTCTTTGCAACTTTACAGATCTTCTTTATGCACCAAGAGCTTGTAACACTCTAAAGAGAAAGGAAAAAATGAAATCGCATCATATGACCCCTTTAACGCCGCTGTTTTCCATACAGTGAATGTACTGTATATTAGAAAGTGCTAGTTAGCAGCTTTGGTAATTTAATGGAGCCGCTTTGCGGGTTCCTCCGTTTTACACATTCCACACATCAATACAAAACCCAGATGAATATTTAGGAGATAATTTATCTTATCATTACCTTTCATTAAGTCTCAGAAGCCATTCACACCCCTGGCCTGACACCATAGCCGAACGATAACTAATTTCTGAACAGTGACCTAGGTGGGCAATTAAGCATAGGCAGAGGGCTGAAAGTGAGAACATCTAACATACATGCCACTAATTGAGGCGCCAAGACAAGAATGACTAATGTGGAGGCGCGCAGTTGAGGGAATTAGAAGCGTACTGCACCACTTTCACTCGCGCTCTCTTTCTTTTCTCTGAGCAAATGTCTCGGGATGCTGGTGGACAGTCAAAGGCACCTGTGCTTTCATTACCAGACGCCACTGAGCTCTATTAGCTTTGACAGACTGAGATCAGTCCAAATGAGTGAGAAACAGTGGCTTCCCTGAGCCAGCAGATGCTGTTTACTAAAACATAAAGGGATAGTTCAGCCCCACAAGATGAGAATTTCATAATGGTTTACTCATACTCATGTCATTCCAATCCTGTATGTTTTTCATTCTTCAGTGGAACACAAAAAGAGATGTTTAGCAGAATGTCCGAGCTGCTCTCTTCCAAATAATGAAAGTGAATGGGGAAAAGTATTTTAAAAGATACACTATTATTCAAAAATTTTGGGACGGAAAGATTTTTGAATGTCTCGTTTGCTCATCGACAGTACTTTTATTCAATCAAAAATACTATAAAAACTCTAATATTGTGAAATTATACTACAATTTAAAACTGTTTTCTATTTGAATATGTTATAAAATGTAATTTATTCCTATGATGCAAAGCTGAATTTTCAGCATCATTACTCCAGTCTTCAGTGTCATATGATCCTACAGAAATCATTCTAATATGCTGATTTGCTTCTCATGAAACATTTCTTATTATCAATGTTGATAGCAGTTGCGCTGCTTAATATTTTTTGTGGATATCATGAGACAATTTTTTCAGATGCTTGCTGAAAGTAGATGGGGACTGGTTCTGGTCAAGCTCCAAATGTCAAAAGCACCATAAAAGTGTAATAGTGCTTCATATTACTCGTGTATGATATTACAATTCTTCTGAAACATAATTTAAGTCAACATTCGCTAAGATAGTCATTCACTCCAGGATTTTGTGATTCTGCAGAATTTATGTTTATATTTATGTTAATTGTGTGGGACAAAAAGAAAATGTATAGAGGTTTAATAATAATATTAAACTACTATGTTATACTGAATATAATGTATAAGATGAATATTTGCTAGTCTCCATAATGCCTGATTTCACCAGTAGAAAGATTTAAAATGCATAATATAATAATAAAAAATACCTTTTTTTTCATTGGATATGCACTTTTAAAATATTTCTAGTGAATGCAATCGGTTATAATATCATAAATTGAAAAACCAAAAACAATATTACAACAATAGATGATATAATTGTTAAACAAATGTTTGTTAAATTGTAAAAACATGAAAATTTATAACATTTAAATTGTAATGTTATACATACTGATTCAGTGATAATGTTCAAGCTATTGTCACAATTCTATATTTTCAGCAAAGCAGAATTATTAGTATTTCTATGCTGGTGTCACCATTGTCTTGTGCATGAGGGACCAGAACCACAATTTCAGTAATTACACACAAGACGATTTACAGGTAATTGTAAAAGTACATCATAATTATAGGTGGGTTTTCACTGCAAAACAACCCAAAAATGCCCCAAATATCACAAAACTCTTACTTGACAGTCATGGTCACCATTCACTTTCATTGTATGTATGGAAAGAAGCAGCTCTCACATTATGATATAAATCACTCGTTTTGTGTTCCTCAGTCATTCAGGTTTCAAAGGACATGAATGTGTGCACCATTAAATATGTTAAAACTCGACCTGAGTGTGAAACTTTCACAGGGATATGCAATGAGAAACATTAATTGGTCTGTATGGTAATTTCACTTCTGGATTTTTCCGAAAAAAAGCCCCACCAGTGAACACACAAGGCTGCAGGAACCGACATGAACATCTTGCATTTGTTATTTCGAGATCTCCCAAGGCCATTATTGAAAACTTCTCCTGCAACAGTGTTCTTCCTCCCTCTTCTGTGCCTGTTGGATATTGCTTCACAGTCTTAGTTCACGGCTATAAACAGTCACCAGAACAGATGGCTTCTCCAACTACAAGCTGTAATCATGTCAGATCCATCTGCTCTTACTCAATATCACTTCCTGCTTAGATGGGGCTCCACAGGGCCCGTGTCCCACCTGCAACTTCCTGTTTCCCCTCACCTGATTTCCTGCTCCACTGCCCCTGCTGTGATCATTTTTGTTCAAATAGGAAATGCTTTTAGAGAAAGGTTGCTCTGAATGAACGGATGGTTTGATGGATATATGCGAGTATGGATGAATGGATGGTTTCATGGATGGCTGGGTGTGCAAAACGAAATGAGGCACATTTGGGGGTTTTACGTAACGATTTCTTCCCAAAATGTTCCCAAAAGAAGATGCGTTTCAATAATATCTTAAAGAAAAAAATGAAAGATCACTTGCACACCTTCACGTTGTTCCAAACTTGCTATTATTATTATTGTTGTTGTTGTTGTTGTTGTTGTTATTAACAATAATAAGAATAATTATTGTTACTAGTATAGTAAATACTATTGTTGTTAATGATAATATCATTGCTGTTATTATTGTTATTATTATTAATAATAATAATAATAATAATTAAAAACCTTACCATAAAACTTGGTACCTTTAATATTTGCTTTATTATTATTATTATTATTAAGAATAATAATTATGAGCATCATAATTAACTGTAAACATAAAACTTGCTAGCTGTAATATTTACTTTAATCTTATTATTGTTGATGATAATATTATTGCTGTTACTGTTAATAATAATATAAATAATAACAATAAATCTTACTATAAAACATGGTAACATTAAATTATTAAATATTTACTTTATTATTATTATTATTAACAAATAATCATTTTCAGCATCATAATAATTAATCATAACCATAAAACTTGCTAACTGCTAACTGTAATATTTACTGTAATATGCTTATTATTATTATTGTTGTTGATGATGATAATATTATTGCTGCTGTTGTTGTTGTTAATAATAATAATAAACATTACCCTAAAACTGGATATCTTTAATATTTACTTTATCATTATTATTATTATTATTATTATTATTATTATTTATAGTAAAGTGAAACATGGAACCATGAAAAGCCTGAGGGTGATTAAATGGTAACAGAATTTTCATTTTTGGGGTAAACTTCCTTGAAGAGTATTTCATATATTAGGCAACTCTTCCAAAGCCTGGCACCAATCAGGCGCGGTACGGCAAAGTCAAACCTCTACCGTCGGGCGAATGCCGTAAACAATTTTCCTTTTGTTGTTAAGAAGTAAACTATTCTCCGCAGGATGCCTGATGAGAAGAATCCAGGAGATGGTCTCATACTGTGCTGGGGAATGTCACTCACTCTCGAGAGGCAGTTACCGTTCCTCATCAGCATATCAACCAATGCACATAATCTCAAAAACAAAACACATTTACATACTCATGTGTCAGTCATTCATAATCTTGAATTTAAATAATGGGGAGAAAGGTAAGTGGCAGGCAGAATATGGAAGAGCTGGAGTGTTTATGGGTCTGTTTGTGATTGGTAATTAAGCTTGGGCTCTGTGTGGGTAATGTGTGTTGATTACTGTGCACTGACCAGTGAAATGTGAAGGACAGAGAGAGCAGTCGCTGCTGTGAGGGACCTACATTGAGTGCTTTTAAAGAGTCCGAGTTCCTCATAAGCGCAGAGGCATCCATTTTTCAAGCCATATGGGACACAATTGCATTTATAATTCGTATTTCAGGGTATGGTTTGCATCTTTTTTGCAAGAAGACAGTTATTATGAGAAATGAAATGCAGAATGCTTTCTGAATGTTTCTACAGTTTTATATCACTGTAAAATTGTGCAATCTAAAAATATTGTTTAGGATGTCTAATATGTCTCTAATTTGTAAAATGTTATTTAATGGTTTAAATCTCCCTGGCTAGGTCACACCAATAAAAGCAATTTTGGAGAGATCAAATATAAATATCTTCTTAAAGAAGCACATTTTCACATTCCACAGTGTTCATTCATGTTGCAAACTTACCGAGTTCAATACAAGCCGATTTCTTTAAAAACAATAGAAACTGTAGTTATGGTCCACTTACAGTGGAAGTGAATTGGGCCAATTATTTGGATGATTTGCAAGCATTAATGTGAAGCTTATTATGTTGTCAAAGCACATCATTTTTAATATTATAGTTAAATTATAGTTAAAACTTTTGTATTATTTGAGTTGTAAAGCTGTTTGAAACTTTCTCTGTCTTTTTTCCAGTGGTTTTAGGGTTCTCAGTGTTTCATTGCCATGGCAAGAAAGTCAATTTGGACATAACTTCGCACAGAAAAGGTCAGTAAGTGATTTATTTTTCACACTAAAATCATGTCAATGTAGTAATGTAGCACATTGTTTATTTACTGTGGCTAAAGTATTGCAATAATAATAATAATATAATTGTTATTAATACCAGTAACATTAATAATAATAATAATCAATAATATCCATAGAAATTATTATTACTATTGTTGTTAAATATATGAAAGTTAGCAAGTTTTATAGTAACGTTAATTTTATTAAAATTAAAAATTACATTTAATTTCATAAACAATTTCATAAACTATTATGGATTTAAAATTGTTTATACACAGAGTGGTTTTTTTTAAGTGTAAGCAAGGGTTTTATGTAAAGTTATCTTAAGATTTGTATTAAAGTCATTTTTCTCATCTAAGGTTAATTATTAGCATTATTTATTATTAGCATTATTACTTTTAGTAGTTAACTTTAACATTATTATCAATAATAATAATAATAATCCATTACCATTAATAATAATGACAATAATAATAATAATAAACAAGAATATCAAAAATAATAATGATTAGTAGTAAGCAGTAGATTAGTTGTAATTAGTAATGAGTAATTAGTAGTATTGTTACTGTTATTGTAAAAAATTCAGTATTGTGGGCTAAAAATGTAAATGCAAATTTAAATTTTTACACATTGGTTCTTGTTCACTGCTTCATAGCAACTCTTTTTTCAATTTTGCTATTTATAACTAAATGGAGGGGCACGTGGAAATTAATTTTGTGGTAATAAGCATTATTCTTTTATTATACATAGCAATTACATATCAGTTCTAAATGGAAAAACTGAGTTATAAATTTAGTACACTCATAGGGATAACTGAAATAATTTTTCAAATGTGCACCGTAGTGAACTAGCCTTGTCTAATCCAAAGGTCTGTGAGGCAAATGTCATCCCTAACCCTTTCCCACCAGGCATGAACACTCGAGGTATGGAAGTCACGGCCAACAGACTGGATCTCAGCGTTCCTTTCCTCTCTTTTGTCCCAGGGGTCTGTCTGTGGCGTCCATCCAGGTTGAACGCGCAGGTAAGCCCTTGCTGTATCTCTGCTCAGGACCTGTGCACCCTGCCATCTGGGCAGGTGCTGCTCCTATGTCCTATCCTCCGATTCGTTTAAAATCCCGGCTGGTGGGTCAGTGCCCCGTGTGCGGCGGAGTGCTGATTTCAGCTCTGAGAGGGGCTGGGGGCCAGCAACCCCTCTGAGAGGCAAGATAGTAGCATGATATTAAAAAGGCTTCTGGGTCATACTTCATAACAGGTCTAATCAAAGCGTCATGCTCATTCAAACAAACGGTGCCCCCCTCAGATTTATTTTTTTATTTTTTTATTTTTAGCTCTTTTTTTATATGCTACTGTCCAAAAGTTCGGGGTCAGTAAGGTATTTTTTTGTTATTTTTATTTAGTTTAACTTAAAAATTTATAATTTCATTCAGCCAGGATGCATTAAAATGCATTAAAATGACCAGAAGTAACAGTAAAAACTGTTTTTGTTCTGTTTACTATTTGTAATGTTGCAAAAGTTTTCTTTTTCAAATAATTGCTGTTCTTTTGAACTTTCTATTCACTAAAGTATCCTGAAAAAAAATTTATCACTGTTTCCACAAAAATATTAAGCAACAACTATTTTCAACATTAATAATCAGAAATGTTTCTTGAGCAGCAAATCAGCATATTAGAATGATTTCTGAAGGATCATGTGACACTGAAGACTGGAGTAACGATACTGAAAATTCAGCTTTGCATCACAGGAATAAAATACATTTTACAATATATTCAAATAGAAAACAGCTATTTTAAATTGTAATAATATTTCACAATATTACTATGTTTTATTTATTTTTGATCAAATAAATGCAGCATTGGTGACGAGCATAAGAGACTTCTTTCAAAAACATTTTAGAAATTGTGTCAACCCCAAACTTTTGAATGGTAATGTATAATTCAAAAAATGTTTAATAATATTATATATATACTGTGAAAAATGATTTTCAAAGCTGTAAATAAAGATTATTGGATAGTTATATTAATATAATTGTAATATTATTTATATTAAAATCTGTGTGATTAAGTTGGGTTGGTAAGATTGTTTAATATTTTTGAAAGTAGTTTCTTTTACTCACCTAGGCCACATTTATTTGATCAAAAAAAGTTTAAAACAGTAATATTGTAAACTGTTTTCTATTTGAACATATTTTGAAATAAAAGATTAATTTTCATCATCATTACTTCAGTCTTCATTACCACATGATCCTTCAAAAATCATTCTATTATTCTGATTTGCTGCTCAAGAAACATTTCTTATTAATATTACTATGTTTTATTTATTTTTGATCAAATAAATGCAGCATTGGTGACGAGCATAAGAGACTTCTTTCAAAAACATTTTAGAAATTGTGTCAACCCCAAACTTTTGAATGGTAATGTATAATTCAAAAAATGTTTAATAATATTATATATATACTGTGAAAAATGATTTTCAAAGCTGTAAATAAAGATTATTGGAGTATGTTTTACAAGAAAATACTATTTCAGTTTTTCTACTTAATTTCATATTCAATTCAATGTATTACTTGCAATTTCTTAGAAATAATATTTTTTTATTTAAAAAATTACATTTAATTTAATAAACAATTTCATAAACAATTACGGATTTAAAGTTGTTTATACACAGTGTTTCTTTAAGTGTTTTATGTAAAGTTATATTAAGATTTGTATTAAAGTCATATTTTATTCTCATCTAAGGCATGAAGTGAGCCAAAAAAGATATTGGTTAATGACACACCTGGGTATAATTTATTGAGTAAACTGATTTGAATTAAATACTTTGATTTTGACAATCACTTTTTGCCCCTGCAAACTGCTAACTGCTGTGCTCTAAAGTGCTATTGTGATTTGATTTATCTACAAAAGTCTGTAATTTAAAGTGTCAGCCAATCTAGAGAGGTAAAATGACACCCTCTCCAATCTTTCCTGGTGGGTAAATTTGACCCTAAGAGAGTGCATTAGTGTGCATTGGAGCATTTAAAGTCTGGCATTTTGGCATCACATTACATTCAACCACTCTTAAGCTGTTAGAACTAATTGGACTCTCTCTCATTTCATTATCTAATGTCAAACTAAAGCACTGCTTTAATGCACTTAAAGACTTTTTTAGAGACTTAAGTCACGGCAATGCGGCTGTTAATATTCCCACGTGCAGATCCCTTAAAGACGTGATAAATGGTGTCTAAACCCTCAGCCAACATTAGCAATTAGCTAGCATTCATCAGTGCCCTACTACACCTGAAAAGCAGCTATTAGCCTCCAGGCAACAAAACACACATAATAAATGTGCCTCCTGCAACCTAATAATTTATACATTTGCGGAAAGCCAAAATAGACGACCTGAACAACCTCGGTGTGTAAGCCAGCAGTTTACAAAGAAGTGACAAATATATCTCTCTCTCCATTTGGATACGTCTGCTACAGAATGATCAATAGCGCAACATATTTGCCTAAAAGTTCTGGAAGGAAAAAAAGAAAGTGAATATGAAGATATTTGTGAATTGGTTATAGGGCTAATGTAAACCCTTAAAGCTTGTATTTCTCTATCGGCTATTGATTAAATGGATATTCCAGGTTCAATACAAGTTAAGATCAAACTTGTTCTTTCTTTTCTTTAAAAAAATGGGTTACAGTGAGGCACTTACAATGGAAGTGAATGGGGCCAATCTGTAAGCGTTAAAATACTCATTTTCATTAATACAGCCACAAGACATAATATGTGTGACTTTTTCTGTGAACCCATAAGTGTTTCATGGGCTGCCTTTGAATTTTAGAAGTCCTTCAGACACAAAACCCTTTATGATTCCAGAGTTTCTAAGGCATCGTAATTCTCTAGAGTTGCCACCTTTTGTGTGCAAATGGATAGTATGGTGATAATTTATCCTGCAGCCTTGCTCATTGTATGCCAAAATAGAAATCTTCCCAAGCATTTTTTTTTTCTTGGATGCTCTGGGCCATTTTCAGTAAAGCAGCAAAGCCTCTCCTTCTCATTTCCCACTCTTTGAATGGGGCTTGCTTGTCCAATCAAAAGGACTATGGACTATGTGCTCCTTTCTGTGTGACAGTGGATTACCGCTTTTGTTGGTGATGTTGCTATATATTGTCTGAACAGTGGGATGTCCTCAAAGAGTTTGTCCTTTCTGGGTGGACTGACACTCATGTTTACATGCACAGCATACACACAGTAACACAAGCTCGATAATTGCTGTTTGGCCAGCCCTGAGGGTGTTAATATTAAGCTGGCATGAAGCGAAAAGAGTGCCATGAAACTGCATTTGTAAAAGTCAAAGTTCTGCTTTGGTCAGCAAAAAGAAACCCACAAGCCTTTCACAATTTGCTCTTTTTTCTTCATTCTCAGAGTCAGTTTTGAAAGGAGCTTGTGAATATTCCATAATGATGGCACGTTCCCTATACAAGAATGGCACGTTTTATCTTCATACATCCATATGCATAAACTCTGCAACAAAAACGGAGTAAATGAAATTATATTAATATGTGCATATTAATATTAATTTTTATCAATTTTTCTATTTGAACATATTTTGAAATAAAAGATTAATTTTCATCATCATTACTTCAGTCTTCATTACCACATGATCCTTCAAAAATCATTCTATTATTCTGATTTGCTGCTCAAGAAACATTTCTTATTATCAATGTTGAAAACAGTTGTGCTGCTTTATATGATTTTTCAAAATTGTATGATAAATAGAAAGTTCAGAAGAACAGCTTTTATTTGAAATGGAAATGCTGCCACTTGATATATTTAATGCATTCTTGCTGAATACAAATAGTAATAAAAAGTCTTACTGACCTCAGTGTTTTGAATTGTATTGTATATAAAATGTGTAGATTGTAGTGTATATAAAATGTGTAGATCATATACATTATATGCTGATAAATTAATCTAATTAATTTGTTTATGCACTTGGCAGGCAGTTTTCTGCACAACAACTTACAATACTTTTGGCATATACATTTTTAAGTATGTTGTGGGTACAATTAAATTAGAATTTATTAATAAATGCAATTTATTGCATCAATACTTAAAAAAGGAAAAGAGCTCTTGAATAAAGATATCAAGGACAGTATTTGTGACTTGAATACATCATTGGATATCTAGTTTTATTTAATTTTATTTCTCTCTGATACTTCAGTGTGAAAATTAATACAAAGTACAGTTTTAATAGGCTTGTTTTGCACATCAGTATCTATATAAATATCAGGATGGCTAAGGATAAGAGCTTTGTGACTGATTAATGAGATTTCAGTTTTATCTTTTGTTGAGGTTGTGAATGTCCAGTTAGAATCCGCTTTAAATTACAGATGAAGGTACTTAATGAGGGAGTGGAAGGCTGTGCTAATGGGAAATAATATAGATTTGTGTGTCTTTGACACAATAATAGAAATGGACCAATAATGTTGTATTATTTGTCCAAAGGGAGGCATGTAGATTAAAATGAGTAGAGGGCACCGGATAGATCCCTGGGGGATGCCCTGCCTAACAGCAGCAGAAGAGGATTTATGTCTCTGAAAAGGAACAAACTGCTGCCTGTCATTGAGATAAGACGTGAATCAGAGGAAAACAGTGCTAGAGATGCCAGTGGCTGAATATATATGTGTAGCTTTTGTTTAAATAAATGCATCATTATTCTCAGGTTTAACTCTCCAGGGATCACTTTCCTGTGATTTGTTCACGCATCATGCAACCTCTTTTGACATCCTGAATGTCTAGTAAATATGTGATAAAAATGTGTCTGCTTACAATTTAGCATTTACATAAGTGTTTCAAAACAACAGAGGGATGTCTTCAACCTTGAAATGACTAATCAAAAGGAATGTTACAGAATCCACATGCATCTCATGCTTTCATAATTGCCTTGTTCAGCACATTAAAGTGTTTTGTTATATATTCCCATCTCTCATTTCTGTATTTATTACATTTGAATTTGTTTGTGCATGTTGTAAAGTACAAAATAGTGTCACACTAAGTCCCCAGAGAGTGTGAGACAGGCCCGCTGTTGCTCGACAGGGTGCATATCTGTAACCTTGATGTCAAATGCTTATTAGCACTTGCTTCTAATGTTGCCCTTCTCAAAGCAACTGCCAACATCGAGAGCGTCGAATAAATGCACCCTCAATGTGCTGTGACAGCACTCAGCCCTCGCTTAACTGCGGCGTTTGATTATGTGCTTATTATATACCAGTAAACAGATGCGTGGACTGGTGAGGCTGAGAAGGCTGATATGATTTGACAGGCTTTAGAAACAGGAACTGAGTAGACAAGGAAGTGAAAAAAAAAACACTTATTTAGCCTCAAGATGCAAATGCACCCCATCTGCAACTCACTATTGGGCCTTTCACACTTGAAATTGTATAAACACAATCTTGTGTTTCAGTTAGGTTTCAAGATTTCACATTGTACATTGGTAAACCCTGTGTTAATATTTTCAATTGCATATTTATGAGGTTAATAACATTTGATTTGACAAATATAGCGATGTGTACGACCATGCAGTAGGTTTTAATAACTGTCCATGTGTGGAAGTGTTACTATGAAAATTCAGTTTGTTTTATAGTCTATCAAAAAGTGAAATTTCTGTCATAATTTACTCACCCTTATGTGATTTCAAACATGTATTTCTTTTTTGAAACACAAAATATTTTGAAAAATGTCAGTGAAAGTAAAGGTGACCCCAATGTTCTTGAAAATATCTTTTGTACAAATCTTACTTTTGACATTTCAAAATCTCCATTAAGAAATAGCCTATCCATTAAGTTAATAGGAAAATATACAGGAAAATAACAGTTTATCAGTCTCGTTACCACTTTATCAGTTTTAACTCTAAAAGTATTTCAGGCTGTGCAAAGCCCATGAATATTTAATGAGGCGAGCACTGAGGCAGTTTTTGATTGGTTGTCTTCAGTGGCGACTGGGACTTCTCTAGAGTGGGAAAGCACAGATGTCACTTATCAATGTCAAAATGTGTGCTCAGATCTATTTTTTATTTTAGTGTCTGCAGTGTTTTCCAAAGAGCTTCACTAAACAGTGAAATTATTAAAGGAACAGTTCTGGGAATAGTTAAATAGACCAGGAATAGTTAAGGAATAGTTAAATAGAAATTCTGTCAGCATGAAATCAAAGAAAGTCATTCAGGTTCGGAGTGACTTGAGGGTAAGTAAATTACAGATTTTTTTTGGGGGGGGAGTGGGGGTAAACTAGCTTCTTAAATAATTGACAAAACTCTAATACATTTGCTGTTTGTTGCAAAGAGTCATCCATTTAAGAGCTCAATCACCCAATCATCAGGACAAAAATAGATTAAAAGCCTAACATTCAATGAAAATCATCCAACCAGAACTCAAAATGACATTTTTACAGGCTGTTGTCCAATTAACATTGATCTTTGCTCCATGATAATGATACAGGTATCTAACCTAGACTCCCATTGAAGCAATGTTTATACTCTATGTTGCTAAACAACCCCAGCATTCTAGATCCACAATTTCAAAATGTCAAATGTGTGAAATATTGATTAGCCTAGGGTTAAAAAGGGGGTTTAAAATACCATTATTCAAGGGTTAAGAGTGTGTGAAAAGCTCTTTCTGTGATCTGCACTAGTGGGATATGATGACTGTGCCAGAAGATTTTCACTGCTCTTGTTTCTCTTCTCTTTGTTCTTTTTCTTTCCTAAAGTCTACGAACTTTGATGCCCATTTTGTTCTGTCCCCCATTTCCATGTCCCAGGATGATTTGTGGGGCTCACTGAAGGGCGAAGTGGGATTCCACCAGGTTAAAACAATGAGATCTGAGTGGGAAAGTGATAGATGAACCGACTCCAACCACATTTGTCTTCGGTTTAACATTTTCTTGTATCAATTTTTTCAGGAAAGCTTGCTTAATATGCATTTCTGAGCGTCCTGGTGCTGAAGGAAGAATGAATCAATAGAACTCTGGAACAAAAGAAGAATAGCAAGACAATTTGGGATTTCAAGACTCTAATTAAGAACAAGGTACTTCATTCTGCCTGTTGTAATGAGAGCTCTATAACAAATGTTGGGACCGTAGATACTATATAAGACTGTCCAACTAATCTCTCGTGTTCAGTATTGAAGTAAACAGCCAACAATATCGTCCAGCGCTGAAACTACTTGAAATATCACATGACATGTTTGAGTTTGTAAAATTGGATTCACTGTCTGTTTATGAACCCAATAGTAAACCTCCTCCCTCTACAATGTCATGAATTAAACTAATGGCTAGGGAATAAGACAAGGAGCATTGGGAAAATATGTAAGTGTGCTCATGTGCAGCCATGTGCAAAATTGATATTTCACAATATCTGATTTATCACAGTTCTCATTCTGTTTAGCGTCATTGTCTGTTTATATTCACTTTTTTGCAGTCAGAAGATTGTGTGTTTATGTACAGAGGTCGAAGAGAACTTTACAACCGAACAGTGTACAGCTGTGATGAATAGTCAGTTTTGACAGTGAAATGGATACTCTAATCTATATATTGACAGGCAGTTGATAAATGGCATGAAAGGCAGGTGTTCACTGATAATGAGCCAGCGAAGCAACCAGCTGATTAAACAACTTTGATTCCAGAGCTCAACTTCCTTTGATTCATCCTTTGGGAAAAGACTGCACGGATGAATGCAAGAATGTTGCTCGGTAGCTCTACTTCTGGGTTTAAGATGCATACAGTGTTTGTAGCATTGGTACAAATGCCGAAACTGTTCATTTAACTACATTTCTCAGTAGTGAGAATGTAGTATTGCTAGTTTCTTAAATCATGTAGTATTTTAGTAGTTAATCTATTTTATTTATTTGTATGGCAGAAGACGTTACATTTTCCCTTTTGGTATTTCAGCAATCAAGTGTTTGATATTTTGTATTGTCTGTTTAGAATCTGAACAAGTGATTCTTTAATTGTGAATGAATGACTATTTAGAGTTTAATGAATTGGTCAAGCTAATTAGCAAGGTCTTCTGAATCAGTTTGCAATTCAGTTTAGAATCAGATCTAGTGGTATTCGATTCATGAATTAATTACTCTTTTGAGTTGGCTCATTCATTAGCTGCGTTTCCATCACAGATTTGCACAAAACTTTTGCGATTTTTAATAAATGTCGATAAAAAACTAATGCGTTTCCATTTACCGATATTATGCGACTAATATATAATTATTTTCCTCTCGCAATAAGTCATGGCGATGGATGTTGGTAGGTTTACGTATATCGCAGCCACTGCACTAGCCATTATTTTTAATCGAAGGAGACGTAGGCATGTATCTTTAGCGAAGCAGCATGGAGAGCCGCTTCTGGGACACTTCTGAAGCGTGCCGCGACGTGACTGGTATAAACACAAGCATTGACTAGAGTGGCCGTGATCAATGCGCCGCAGACATGTGCAGTGTAAATTCTCCAAACATTCATGGCAAGAAAAGCCCCTTATACTTGAGAGCAGCTACTTATAAGGTGTTTCTTGGGGGTTGCCATTGCAATTTTGTGAAAAATTCCTTTTTTGAAATGCCTGAAATACCACCTCATTCGAGCGTAAAATCTTTTTTGCGATATATATATATAGGAGTTTTTGCTAAATTGACGTGTTTGTATTGGGCATATTTTGTTTTTTTTGGG